GACAACCTATTTAATGTAATGTTTTCAAAATTTATTTATTCATTTATTTATATCAAATGGCAGGGGTTTTGATTGTTATCATTAGCCCTTTTGTTGACTTCAGGCTTCACAGGGAGGAAGGAACATCGAAGGGGAAAAGTCGAGATGGGGGGAACGGAAGAGTGTCTCAAATATGTAAAAGAGGCAGACACAAAGGTAGAAAAAAGGTGAGGTGAGTGCTGTGGAAGGGGTCGAATATGNAATGTAATGTTTTCAAAATTTATTTATTCATTTATTTATATCAAATGGCAGGGGTTTTGATTGTTATCATTAGCCCTTTTGTTGACTTCAGGCTTCACAGGGAGGAAGGAACATCGAAGGGGAAAAGTCGAGATGGGGGGAACGGAAGAGTGTCTCAAATATGTAAAAGAGGCAGACACAAAGGTAGAAAAAAGGTGAGGTGAGTGCTGTGGAAGGGGTCGAATATGACATATAGTGGGGGGTGATGGCAGTTTGAAGTGAGAAGTCAACTGCCGGTTAATAGACTTTTTTGCCGTATGAGTATACGTTGCCCAGTGAGCACCACGTGGAGGTAAGTCGATCGCGCACCCCTTGTTTTCAAAATAAAGGATCGTTTCATTCGCATAAGAAGGTGATTCGAGTATTTAATTGAAATCAAACCTTTGAATTTATTTTGTGTCGATCTGCTACCCCTCTCTCAATTTGTACTTTTAACGTCCACCTCGACAACGCAACGGTGTATATTTATTGAAGATGCACTACTGCACAGGTTACACTGAACAGTAACTGTTTATTCTTATGGATTCCTTCATCTTGTTCCTTTTTGGAAAAAAAGATTTTTCTCCTTGCCTCGATTCAGCTCTCCTCACTTCATATCATCGATTTTGTACTTGCATGTTTAACACAAATTATTATCATCGTGTCGCGCAACAGTATTCTATTAATTGGCGAAATTTTGGTCAAAATGCGCTTACAATTTACTAGATGTACTACTGCTTTTTTTATTCAGTAGTTTTGCATGCGATATTGAGTCCTTATTACTAAAGTGTACAACTTGATAATTCGCACCAAATGACTGAATTAACAGTCACGTGATATTTTTGCTGTTCGATAAACATTTAAACAACGCAATGTTTGCGTTTAGAATCTTAAAATCAATAAATCAAATTATGAAGGTTACGTCAAGTAAATTTTTACCATTAACCTAAGGTAATCAATAACTGCAATTACAATTGGTCTTCATATTTCAATCGATTTATTATTTGCTTTCGTTTCACTTAATAATTAGGCTTCTGGATCGATGCTGAGCATTTTGAACATAAATTTTGGGGCGAAAATTTAATCCAATTTGCGGAACGGCTGGCTAATTCGATTCCAGCACTGTTGATAGTGCTAGGTTTTGTTTAACTGTTCCACTTTGCAGACTTCGTTAATTCTTATGCTGCCTTATTTTGCAATATCAAATCGTTTGTTTAGACACAGGCATCCATGAAATCCGGTTGCTCGATTTTTTACTTAATGATTTTCCCATGAAAAGTGATATACGCCCCCTCTCCACCTTTTGGCTTGAGGTATTATCAATGTGTGGAGTTTAACCTTGAAGACTACTGATAGCCAAATTCCCCCCCACGAAGGTTAACATATGCATCGGTTTCCAAAATAACTCATTTAATGAGTTATTTCTAATTAAAGGGGTGCTGTTTAATTGCGTAAGGACTAGCAGTGATGTCTATGCTATACAATTCTAGTATAATACTTAATTAAAAGGAAACTCAAATTTGACAGTTGAAATTAATGCTCGCAGCTGTAATTACAATTTTCAAAAATTTATTAATTAAATTCATTTTCAAACCTTTACTTTTCGTTATTTTCACCGTGACGGCTATGAAACTTTGTATTTAAGAATCAATTATTATTGGAAGGGATAAACTTAATTCATGCGGAGTGGCGGCAATTTAAATAATTTCTTTTTCATTTTTTTGATATGCACAATAATTAGTAACCTTTTTGAAGACCAAGATAGATTTGAGAAAGATTTTTTAAGTTCCATTTAAATTTTCCTGAAAATCAATAAAATTAAATAAATATTATGTAAAATTTTGTTTCCTTATTAATTTATACAGGTGCAAAAAATGGACAATATCAATCAATAACTCCGGCAAAATCAATGCCATCCCTAGATCCCGCGCTATTTAATCAGAATCCTCGTTCATTTAACAATGGCAATCAGGGTCGTGGTGGTGGCAGCGGTGCACGTGGGAATTTACGATCACAAAATCTACCACCTCGATTCCGTCACAACTCCTACAAGGGTGGTCCACCAGGGGGTCTAAATGGAGGACCGTCGAAAATGTGTCCCCCACCACCACCTCCCTTTCCTCCACCGTCACCTTCGCAACCGACAGCCTTCTCCACACAAAAGTGGCCCTCAAATAGGGACAGGAGTGCTCCCTGGGTTAGGGGAAACATCATCAGTAGTCGAAGTCCCGGTATGTGCTTTATTTGATACATTCAGTAAGGCCATCAATCAAGCGTATCTAAATTCTTGGCCCAATATTCCAAATGACACCTACTACGAGTTTATTTTGTGTTCGCTTGGTGTAATCATTACCCCCCCCCCTCTTGCCTACCCCGTCCTCTCTCGTCTGACAACATCTACTTACAGGATATCGATTATCGATTGCATTCGCTTCTGTCACACTAAGACTCAGATAACTTATTTTCACAATGCGTTAACATGTCGGTTTTCATGCAACCTTTCACCCTCCCACCCCCTATCTGCCTGTCTCTCAAGTTTCCATCATTGTTCAGCTGTTCACCACTTGTCTTTCGTTCTCAATAGAAATGCATCAAGGAGATAGGCTTGCAGAATTTTTTTCAGCCATTGTGTGTGTTAGTGGAATTCGGTTCGCTGATATAGGTCTCTTGAGTAGTATGTCTCCCATAACATTCTTCTTGAGGAGGAAAATATAATTCAAGGCTATTTGAATGAGTTCAAACCGTGTCTTCCTTTCCAATTCGCATCCATGATTTAAAATTGACGCTTTATTTTTTGAACAAATTAATTAAAAAAATTGAGCAGTTTCCATTTGCTTTTCACATGCTGAGAAGGCAAAGAGAGGTTTGTCTAACGAAGAATATTGGCATACAATTAATCATGACTGGGGTCAGCTCATGAGTCCTGCTTATCTGAGAGACTAGTGAGACTTGCAGTCGGTGTGACCTGCTTAATGGAAAGGTCATCGTTAATTTAAGTAGTCTAAGTTGACAGTGTTACCTTCTAATTGTTAGAATACTTAGTTCACGACTTTGGAAATTACAAGAGAGTCACAGAAAGTGTGGGTAAATTCTTGCGTTTCGGGGCCGGACATTTTACACTGGAGAGTTGTGTCCATTTACACGTTTGTCTTTTAAGTTCTGATTTAATCTGCCTACGTCTTGCCAATAAAGATGGGTTGTAACTGTTTCACCCACTTTCTCAATTCGTACATACCACCACCAAGGGCATGACAGAAGTTTCGAGGGGCCAACTCGGACTTGACTTAGAGAATGGAATGTGTGTGTGTACGTGTACGTGTGGGTGTGGGTGTGTGCTCGATTTGAAGACAGCCAACGTTCTTTCCCTACTTACGACGTCGGAAACAATCCACTTTCCGCGTCCCCAGTGGAAATTTAGTGTAAAAAATACTTTCACTGCGGGGAAATGCATTGATGTCACGTGGAAAGTGCTGATGCATTGACATCCAAATTCACAGCCTCTTCAATTCACTAATTTGCTTCAAGGTGATGGCGTAGTTGACAGTGAGCATGTGAGCCTCTGTCACAAGTCATCCTTAGGTTACCGAAGATTTGATTCAATCAGTCATCATCAAGTTTTAAGGCCATCCTTATTTTGACGCATCATATAAATTTTCATGGTTCTCATATTTAAATCTTCTTCAATCAAATTTACATTGTCGGTTTGTGAGCGCTTATCGATTAGTGCCAGTTGTAGCAGAAATCTTGCCCGTACTGACAGCAAATGAAATCAATCACTCATAAGTGTAATTGAAAACGTTGCCTATTTTCAGGCATCTGAAGGAATAAAGTAGTATGTTCAACTAATTATTAACTTGATCATTCTTCACCCCCCACCACCCCCACGTCCTCTCTAGCAGCCAAAATAGCCCATTGGTAGTGAGTTGTTGCTACCACGACATTTGTTGCAATTTGCATCGGAAGGGCCTTGGGCCTGTTTACAAGATCCTCGGGGCTATTAACAGAAGTAGTTTGACCCACGAACGGATTTCCTCTCTTCAAGTCTCCCTCTCCACCTACTTGTTGGAGCACAGGTTGTGGTTATTTAGTGCCCAAATGTATGTGTGTGTGTGAGAGAGGGAGGGAGGGAGGTAGGCTGAAGTGCCATCACAAGGCTAAGTCATAATTGGCCCATTTGGATTGACTTTCATTGTGCATTCACAAAGTGCGCAATTAGCTGCATAAACACCGCTTTTTGTGTGGCTTGCGTTCTTCACATCACCGTTGAAGACCAATATATACATGTATATACATATGCATCTAAACACCTTGAAAAAGAATAGTCCCCTCTTTTCACATCTTAAAAACTATCGGAGGTCATACTATTTTCTTCTTTTTTTTTAAAAAAGAAGTAGAATTGTGTCTAATCATCTTTGCCTATCACTGTCTGCATTGATTTGCCAAGTTATGCAAACACGCACACACACGCACATCTCCCTCTTCTCCTTCTTTTGGCGCTCTAAATGCGTAATCGTTTTCAAACCTCCTACGAACGAGAAAGATAATGTTTTTGTGACGGAAAACATTGAAAAAAGGGAGTATGATGGGAACGGAGACAGTCACCTTGCCACTTGACCACTTTCGTCTCCCATAGCAGGGAAATATAGATGAGTCCATCTCTCAACTTCAAGTCTCATTGATTCGCCTCATGTCCATGCTCCTCTCTCCTGGGTTTTAGCTTAGTCTACTACCAATAATTCAGTAGGTGGGACTCTCCTGGTAGGTCACTCCCTTAACACGGAGAGGCAATAGACCCTCGCATTTGGGATACTTACCGACGCCACATACCAGACGCCTCAAACCATTGTGTTTGATTTTTTGTTTATGATTCTTTACTAACCAAGCTAGCCAATAGGGGGTCTAAATTTTAGCCAATCAATCGATACAAATTTTGCAGCATTCATAAGAGAGAGATAGATAGAGAGAGAGCGAGTGAAAAAATGGGCAAATAGGGCGATCTAAACTTTAAAAATAAAGATTATTTATCGAAAATGCATCCCAGCAAACTTTATTACACCATGAATCATATTTTTGGAATACACCTCATTGTTTTTAATTTACGCTGTATGCTATTTTTTGTTGTTTCACTCAGAGTTCTCGCATCACCTCAAAGCCCATAATTTAATGACGAGGTGTTTCTTTTAAAACTCTTTTATGCCTCCTGATCATTAAATTGCTTAACCTACTCTAAGCGACTGATCTTTCATCATACTAAGTCCTTGGTTCACGGATGTGTGCTTTTTTTCTCATTTGCGTTTTAATTTCCCTTGTACTTCCAAGAGGCAAATTTAAAATTGATTTGGAACCAATAATCCTGAAATAGCTAATTCTTAACTTCAATGGAAGTACTTTATTGATTTTTCTTTCCCAGGGGAGACATTCTCGGCTAAAGGTGGGGAGGTGCCAAAGTCTACTCCAGACGCCGATTGTCCCTTCATTAACGCCGATGAAGATGACGATGATGGTTATATTGATGACAATCCTCTGGACGATATTGATCAATTCACCCTCAAAATCGATATGGATGGTGGATTCATTGTTCACGATGCAACTATCTGTGATCCCATCTTATCAAAACCGATTAGCTCTTGGATCGATGAAGTGGCAAACGAACTCAGTGGCGGTGATGTAGAAACAAAGGGCCCTGCATCCAAACTGAATGCCTCCCGTAATCATCAGGAGAATTTCAAGTCTGGAAAGGATGGATTTGATTTGGATGGATACATTTTCTCAAACTCATCTCTTACAACCTCAGCTGTTTCAACATTGTCCAGTCTAGATTGTCGATCATTTAATAATGATATCTATACTCGCCCTATCCCACGATCCTATAGTGCTGACCAGCTCGATAAGTTCTCCAAGCCGCGTGAGTTGAACTTGCTTTCAGTTTTGAGCTCTGTCAATGTGTCTCTACATGTGTTCATGTTTCAATTATGATTGCTCTTCTAGGACGCACAGGGTACTTCAAGAAGGAGTCCGATTACTTCCAAGTTGCCTGGGAAACATAGGTGGTTTATTGGTCGTGTTTTTTGGGTGCTGCCATTAGTTAGGAACAATGCTGCGTTAGGCTATTTTATGTTAATTTGCCTATAAACTTACAAACGCTTTATTTTTAATGGTTCTCTGTGCGTCACATCTCCACAGCTTCTTCTGGCTGTGGATACTGACCCCCAATCCTTCTAGTAGCGATAAAATAAGGAAGAAACCATTTAAAACACTCGATACATGCATTCCTCGGTAGACACGATTCATAAAATCGTCCTATTTTGCAGCATATACTCTTTTTTCCGCTCAATTTATGTTCACCTTTCACCATTTGTGATAAATAACATTCTACTTATGTGCTGGAAGTAGTAGTTTTTGTGGTATTTAGCAGAGACGTGGGACTTCGTTTATGTTCAATTGAGAACGGTGCTATTTGTACATAATCTAATAACGACTATGCGGTTTTGTACTTGACCGCGGACGGAATACCTTTTTATCATACCTTCCATTTATTGACCTCTTCTGCTAACTAGAAATGATTATGTCGCATGCGCAATTCAAATATCGTTTTCTGATTTACTTGAGACCAAATTTGTCGGAAATCATTGGCCAGCTAATTACCCGGTGACTTCAGCATCATCTGCTTATGCTTATGTGAGGTTTTTAGAGCCAAAATAAATAAACCCCAATTGTGTGTGTGTGTGTGGTTGGGGGTGCTTCCATCATAAACATCCTGAGGGGCTGTGACATCAGGCTAATATAATATCGAAGCTGCTTTTGTCTAAAAAATTCTACTGAATGCCATTATCGTTGTCACCCATTCCAAAGTACCCGTGTGCACCCTACCATCATTAAAACAACAAGCTTAGTTCAGAATAGAAAATTTAGCCTGATTTGAGTCAATTTGGCCAATTAGACGAGAAAGTGAAATTTGGATCAAAATGCTTTTTCTTTATTGCCTTCGACCTGCTTAATAGTGGCACTGCTTGGTAACCCCCATGTAACTAACGGCTTTTTCTTCTGATTTTTAGATTAAAACAACAACAACAAAAAACAGACAGCTCTCTGTGATTTTCAATTTCGTGAGTTATTTTGATTTTCACTACAACAATCTTTGCGTAAAAACCAGTTTGTTTGTTTGCTTTTTCTCATCGATTCTTTTTGCTCAATTTTGTAGAATTGCACCAGCGGCCTTGTCTCTCTTCTCTATTTGCCTCTGCTATGGAATCTTTCTTCTTTTTTTTTTATTTAAAAGAGAAAAAAAGAACAAGACGAGACCATTTTTATGATTGATTTAATTTCTTAATTTTAAGTTGCACGGGAATTGCGAACTGTATTCGTGGCTCCTGGATGTTCCTTTCGATATATATGCATATTTTATTTTTATTTTGAAATCTCCGAATTTCCAAATGACGTATAATTCACAATAACCATTTTCCAAGTTTTCCAATGCGTAGATTTTGGTATTTATTCTCACGCGCATATAGCAAGCTCATGTGATCAATAGACGGAGTATTGATCATATACTTTAACAAAATGTTCGTATTTTTTGGCATTTTAAACATGCCAGAGATTATTGGAGTTAACTTTTAGTGAGTTCTAACAACCTTGAACTGCTATTTTCCATTAGTTATGGTACCCAGTTTATGGTGCAGTACTAGAAGTTTAGACTGCTTCCTGATCAGTTTGTAGAGGATTGCTAGGATACTAAAGCCTGACCGACTCAGAAATCTCTATGGCAGATTCACCAACATCTAGCTAGACTCCCAGAACCAGCTAAGCTATAGCCCAGCTACAAACGAAACAGACGTGTAGCACGAAGCACGTTTATTCAGTGAGTATATTGCGGATCAGGTGTGTACACGCAAGGAGCTACTCATGATCAGGATGGGGGATTAGGTTAAACAGAGGTTAATGATTGGTCACTGTTTGTACGGTCGCTGCACACAGAGTTGTACGGCCGCACCTCCCAATCCTGGCGAGCAGACATGGGGGGGTACGATGACGCACGGAGCGA